TGTTTTTCTAGAGGAGAATCCGAGCGAAGCGAGGGTCAGCCGCTGGTTAGTATTTAAAATTGAACTTTGTTCACATACTGACAATTTTTGTTGAGTTAAAAGTACAGCATTAAAGTACGAAATGTTTACTTTACCGACAACAAAACCCTTAGTATTTCTTAAATATAATTCAATGAAAATCAAAGTTATTTAAATTATGGCTATATTTATAGAAATTAAAGAAAAACAAAATAACTATTATCGTTTTTATTTCCTTTCTTTGGAAAAAACAAATTAAAATATTTTAAATCTAAATTGTCCTACAGTTTAGTTACAGGTTTCGATGAATATGTTTGCGAAATGCGAGTATCAGAATATTTCACAAAGGATATCAAATTATGTGACAAAGGGCTTGGTATGCCATTAGTCAGACTTTGTCCAAACTATTTGCCCAAGATGAATCAAATATCTTCTATGAAGGCCTCCTGCCATTGACCCAATATCTTTGTACGTGATTTAATCAAATTTCTTTAATCTAAGCTCCTTATTGTGACCGAAGCACCATATCGATGCAATTTTATTGATTTTGAATACTCTATCAAAAATATAAGAAACAAATATATAAGTAAATATATATATTTATTTAAATATATAAATAAAGATATATGTGTGTCACCTGCCCATATTATCATTTAGATTGTGCTATCTAAGAAAAAGGAACTTACATTTTTAAGCATCCAAAGCATTGTTGATATTGACACTAGTGATTGATATCAGTATCAACTTGGTATCTCTATCCAATCCTAAAAAATAATCAAATAAATGTATTCCACACGTTTGTCTTAATCTCCATATATTTTATTGTAAATACGATAACAGCTAAATCATTGATTAAAGATAAAATTAACGGAATCGTCTTATTTGAAACATTAATATAAGATAAAATAGTTATACATTTTGTTTAGATAAACAAATACTACTACTACTAATAGTACAACAACAAAACAAGTAACTTCAATGGATTTTTACTATAAATGAAAATGTATTGAATTTACTTCTTCTATGTGGCATTGTTTAATATTAGACATCGTTGATTATATTTAATTTTTACCCCACTGCGGTGAAATCCAAAGGTGGGTTATTCATTTAGGCAATGGGGGTTGGAAAGGCAGTAACATCAATATGTAACAATTTACAGAATTCTTCATATTGCTATACTTGGAGAATCTACGAGTACATATGTAATATATATTTTTATATCTGGATGATGCAAGGTAAACACTAAGTGAAAACAGTGATATAGAGACATAAACAATGTAATAAATTTTTTGTCAGGTTGCTGCATATAACGAACACGCTCCTAAGTAACATTTCGTAACCGAATAATACTTCATAGAAACCATTTCATGTATCGTAATAAAAGTAGTCGATGAACCTCTTCGGTCCAACTCTCTATGTCAAATATCAAATCGATTGATCCATTGCTACGAGAAATATACAAAAATATTTAGGAAAAACTCAAACATGATAATATACTTAATGATTCATAATTGTTGAAAATAAACAAAATATGAATCACTTCATAAGACCTTTTTGACCGACTTCCAAAAAGCAGGAGGTTCTATTTTATCATACATATATTTCATTTCCTGTTCATATTCGTCTGTATGTATGTTTTTTATGTATGTTCACCGATTTCTCGGAGACGGCTTGACCGATTTTTCTACTTTAAACGGTGTTGTATTAAGATAGGTTCCGAGGTGGCCCCGTACATTTTTTCGATATAGAGTTTACCGTTTTCAAGAAAATCTGAAAAAATCATGTGATTTGAAGTATGTTCTCTGGTCTAATTATTCTTTTTTACCTACTTCTAATTGTCATATCGACTTGAAACTTTCCAAGTTTTTGTGTTTCTGATGATAATGCAGTTATTTGGTATCATCGAGCTGATCTCATATTGAGGCCAGACGGTGGATAGTGGAACTCTTCTACGGTTACTAATAAATACTTTGAGTTTGAGATTATTTGTTTTCATTTATCAAGCACTTACAATTGGATTTTAGAGCCTGATTTTTAGTGTTACTAATAAAAGTGAGTTGTTTTTTAGTATGTTAGTCTTTATATAAAATTTGGCAGCACACTAACATAAATGGCTTAATCTAATATTATGTTATTAAAGAACTGTCTTCTTACAAATTACTTGCTTATTACGTCTACACTAAAAATGGAAAAATAATAATATATTTACTATCACTACATAATATGGTATGATATGGTATAAACGGGCTTGTTTCCGAACCCGACGTCTGCGCGCTTATTTTACGTGTGTGGGAAATTTCTCCAATCGTTTTATTCTTGCTAGCCCAGTTCCTCCAGGAATTTCTCTCTCTCTCTCTTCGTCTTACCGAAGACCTCCGGGAGTGTACTAGGGGTGTCAAGATGTTGAGCCTGGTACGCCGCTACACCTGGACAATGTAAGATTACATGTGAAGCCGTTTCATCTGCTAATGCGTTGTCTCTCAGGTATCTATCACATAGTCTTTCCATACTTTTAAGTAGGAATGATGTGAGGCTTATTGGTCTGTAGGATTTAGCATCCGAGTAGTCAGACCTGCCGGTTTTTGGTATGAAAATTACCTAGACCTCACTCCAGGTCTTGGGTACGTATCCAAGAGCCAGGCAGGCCTGATATACTCTGTTGAGTATATGGAATAGTTTTGGGCTTCCCCATTGTATAAAAGCGGGGTAGATGCCGTCTAGGCCTGGTGCCTTGAAGGGCTGAAACCTTTTAATGGCCCATGCTATTTTCTTTGGACTTATGACCTCCGTTGCGAGTTGCATGGAAGTGTCTGTTATGGTGTGGTTAACGTTGGTTAGCATTTGGTTTCATTAATTATTGAGCAGTCGGGGAAGTGCGACTGCAGAAGTACTTGGTGTGCTTCTTCTAATGATTTGGTATATGTATTGTCCAGTTTCCTTAAGGAACCCAGTTTCCGCTGTGGTTGTCCGGTAAGAATTTTACGAATTTTGTTAGCCTGTATAAACGATTCTATGGACTCACAGTATTTTCGCCAAGCACGATTCCTCCAGTATCTTATTCGTTTTTTGTACTTGGCTTTAACTTTTTTGTAATCACTACATAAAACAAAGTCGCTTCTCGCTGTCTATCTGTCCCTATATACATAGGCTTTGATCTTTAAAACTACGCTACGGATTTTGATGCGGTTTTTTAATAGATAGAGTGATTCAAGAGGAAAGTTTTAATTTATAACTTGTTAAGTTTTTGTAAATATTGGCTAAAATATAACGATATTTGTTGGAGGTGTCGGAAAAAATAAGCCGTCTAGGAGTTTTCAACGAAAACACTGCCTAAACCCTTTCAGATATAACAAAATAATGTATGGTGGAATTGAACATCTTATATAGGTCTACAGAAAAGTCTGCGATGACATATGCCTATCTCTATCTCTTAAGGATAACATACTATATCCATTTTAATTTAAAACGTACCCAGGGACGAACCCGAGCGAAGCGAGGTTGAGTCGCTAGTAGATACCTAATCAGATATTTTCGAAGTCGGTGCCAGCCGATGCAAAGCAAAGCAAATCTATTTCGATACGTATAATCATACATCACAAATTGATGTTTAATATTTTAACTAAGGCAGTGGTAGCCCAGTGGTAACGCGCTCGCTTGGGATACCGAGAGAAGCGGGTTCAAATCCCGGGTCTCGCACCTCTGATATTTTCATGTGCGAATCATTTCCAACATGATTACCACTTGTCTTAACGGTGAAGGAAAACATCGTGAGGAAACCTGCATGTCTGAGAGAACCTAGCAAGTTTTCAAAAGACATGTGAAGTCCGCCAACCCGCACTTGGCCAGCGTGGTGGACTATGGCCTGATCCCCCTCGTACTGTAGGAGGCCCGTGTCCAGCAGTGGGACGATAAAAAGGGCTGAATACATACAATACATACACATTTTCACTTTAAAATAGAGTTCATACCTTGTCATATTAACCTATTATATATATGAATATTCATATCTTAAAGCCTTATCGGCTGGCACCGATTTCGAAAATATTTGATTAGGTATCTATAGTACTAAATGAAAACCCACGTTCAGGTATTTTTTACTTCTTAGTGCCTGGAAGTTGATATTTTTTGAAGTTTTTATTTTATATAATGTATTTCTTAAAGAATCGCTAAATAATTTCAAGGAGACAACATGAAAACTTATCAAAGTGAACTGATATAAAAACGAGTGTTATTGTGATAAACAAACAAGTATCTTTTATTTTGTTAATTAAAATACTCACTATATACAATGACAGTAGGATTTGGACTAACATTTGATTTTTTTTATTAAAAAGATGAAAACAAGTTAAAGAAGATACATAATTATATCACATATATATACACCCCGCGACAAAACTTTAGCACACTACACATTTTTCATTAGAATTCTTAAAAAGAAATTTTTAGCTTATATGAAAAATATGTAGCGTGCTAAAGTTTTGTCGCGGGGGGTACATATACAAAACCCTCCTTTGGGCAAAGAAGAAATGAAGTCTGTAATAATATACTTCTTATAACAGTTGACGCTGTAATTAATTATATTTAAATTTTTCTTTCATTACAAAAGTATAAATAATCGTCGCTATGAATTCAATTATTAGACTCTATTTAAGTGGTGAAGTAAAACGTTTCTTTGTTTTACCTAGAAAATATTAAGAATATAAATATATTTTACTAAGATTTGATGTGTAACGTGTAGAATAAACAACTATATCAAGTAATTTCTATCAAAATATTGATGGATTAAAATATATCAAATAATAAAGATTATAGATATAGGTAGTAGATACGCTGTTAATGTGGAGCGCACTGTCTCGAATTATATGTATATTAAACGTACTCGTGATATCGCGCGGATACGTCGCATGTCGCGCGCGCAGCTTCATACAACTAGTGGCGGCTAAACAGTTAATTCAAAACATAAATGCAATAAATGTATCAAAATGGTTACCGTTAAAAGTGCAGGTACACAAAATAACAAAAATGAGAAAAAACAAAATGAAACATTGAAGCCAAAAAAAAAGTCAGCTCCGAGCTTTTTTTCCCGTATGCTGTACTTCTGGACATTCCCTCTATTTTATTATGGAAATCGACGTGACTTAGAAGAGGAAGACTTAGTGCCAACAAAATTGAACTACAACTCAAAAAATGTAGGCGATAAATTGGAGAGGTAAGCTAATTTAGTAAAAGTACAAATCAATAATTTGATATATTTTGATCAAAAATACGTACTTAATCACTTGTCATCAAACGTATGTATGTATTATATACCATAACATTAATTAGTATGAAACTCGTCGTTCAATTTATATCTTCACTTTCGAAAATAAAAAGATAAATATTAATTACTTATATATTTATTATATTACCTACATATCTATAATATATTTAAATGTAAACCATTATATCTACTAGCTTTCTCTCGTGACTAGTTTTCATATATTTCAGCAAAATAAATATTGGTTTTGTTTATTTAATGTATTATCAAATTAATAATTATATTAATATTTAATACGAATGCATGTGAAGCAGCAAGTAGAACTTGTCTATAATAATGCAAACCTAGGAAACAATTATTTTTGAAAGAATATTTTTGAAAGAATATTTTTGAAAAACTCTCTTATGTTTCCTGTATTGTATGAGATTCGTCAAACTAAAACAAACAGGCCCAAACTCGAAGGTTTTACTAGTAACCCATTAAAGAGATCCACTATCGACCCTTCCCCATCATCAGATCAGCTCAATATGTCCCATCATCAGATCCGCTCAATACACCGTGGTATTACCATCTGGATTTTATAATCTTATCCAGTATAGGATTTTTTAATACCTATGATAGGTTATTTTGAATAATAATGAATAGTAAAATAATAATTATTTTTTTTCTACCTTTATTAAAAAATAAAGACCGTATTCTTAACAAAAATAATACCAGCATGCATACTCTAGAGTATATTTCATATCTCATGTTGTTTTTTTTTATAGTACCTACTTACATATTTAGAATAATTAAAATTCAAGGTAAATAAAGAGTGTTCATGAGATAAAAAATAAAAGCTTGTACTAATTTTATTGTTGATGTGCTGAACAGTGCCTGAATTTATGATAATAACTGCTTATAGATAAGTTCGTGCGTGTGTTTTACGCGCATTAGTAGGCATTACGCATAAATATAAAAAAAAATTCCACAATCAACAATAACCAAAAATTTTAAACCTATATATATATACATATATATATAAATATATACATAAATAAATATATATATATATATATATATATATATATAATATATATATATATATATACTAGACAACAAATGAAGCATATAATTCTACGTAAGAGGGTCTTGTAGATGAAAATATGTGAAATTAAGACGAATAAACTCTCATGAGACAAGCTATTATGTTTTATTTAAAATACTTTGACACGAAATTTAATAATTATCGAGTTTCTCATCGATTTGTCCAGAATAACATTAGCACAATAACATTCTGAGACGGTACCTTCTTAACGGGCTGTCTCTTTAATTTGCATTGATAATTCAAAAGTGCTTGACAAAATTTAATTGAATTAAATTAATTTCCTTTTAATTTTCGACTTTATTGTGAAGCTGATGATTACGGCGTCTATTGTTTACCTATTTCTTGTCACATCGCTACATACAGTCATACATCATAAATTAAATAAATAGTAAAGTTAACAGTTTACCCCACTTAATTCATTTAATTTACTTTATAAATTATGATAATTCGTTCTAATTTGTGATTTTATTAGCGATTATTAAATTAATCACAATATAAATATTTAACAATTCACTTTATGCATTGTCTCAAATAGAATTAATGAATAATAATTTTCTATTCGTGTTAAAGTGATTGTTAGGTTAAAATTTAGTCGATATTTTATATATTTTTTTATTTTATTAATAACAAGCTATTTACCCTCGCTCTAGTCGGGGCTTGGGTACAACTCTAGGTGCCTTTTGTGTTGATTATACTATATAGGGGCAACGCCATCTCGGCCTATGTATTAATTCAGGTCATAGTCTACATGTGTACTAAAATTCATCCTAATCCGTTCAGCCATTTCATTTATAATAGTAATCTGATAAGATAAAGGAATATTATGGAAAATACTGAAATAGTAATGGCTCCAGCAAACCAATTGTACATAGATTTTTCAGAAACACGTTATTTGGGATGCATTAAAATATAAAGATCTCATTCGGTGATTTTGTTAATTTTACGCATTTTTATTATCAAAGTCCTCATGTCACGTCATTTCGTAAGCTAGTTCCATTCAGTGTTAAGCAAATGACAGCTCCACATGTGTAAATATTCAGATAGTGGATTAGCAATATATACGTACTTAATTGTTGATGGTAATAATGTTGCGCACATATTTGTACAGTGATAGCTTCTAATGCACTCTACTATACTTGTAGTTATCGTGTTTAAATTTTCCAAGTAATCTCCAAACACATCTATCGATCTGTGTGCGTGAAAAAAAGACAATACAAAATAATATTTATTAATTAGATTTAAATTATTTATTTTTATTATCAATTAGATATTTATAAACATTATTAATTTAATATTAATATCAATTATTTATACAATAATTTAATTTCCCTTTAGCTAGTAAATCTATTTTCCCGACTAAGCTAATTGAATAAAATATGAAGAATGAGAATAAAACAATAAAACATTAATATTTAACTAATACTTAATTAACAATAAAATATAAATATTATTTATATTTAGGCAGTTTTGAACCATCATTATTATCATATAAATGTTCATTGCGGTTTCGAATCCAGCACGAAATGTTTCAATGAATGGTTTTCTTATCCTAGTAATCCAAAATAAATATTTTATGTTAAATGTCAAATATAATCTATACATACATATAATAAAATTGTAATTAAGCCGAATCTGTAAGTAAAATATTTTTTGGAAAATCTTATTGAAATAAACATTATTATCGATACAGAGGCCGAATCTAGAGTTTTAAGAATATTTGGCGAATCGAGGGTGAGTCTCTAGTAACAAAATAAAACAATACACACATATTAGATGTTTGAATTATATATTCTTGCTCTGCAATGTGATTGCAATACGAGCAATTTCACTGCTGCTCCGTTGCGCCACCATGACGGGTTTCCTTGAGGTGTGACTTCATCTTGGGGAATAAGAAAAAGTTGCAAGTGGCAATATTGGGGCTATAGAGTGTGTGCGACATCGTTGGAATGCCTGTTTTCGCTAAAAACTCTTGACAAATTACCGAGAAATGGGCCGGCGTATTGTCGTCAATCTTTCGCATGTACAAATCCTCCTGTAACATCTTGCAGATGGTATCTTTGTTGATATTTAACTCGCCAGACAACGGACGAACGCTCATGTGATCACGATCAGCGTTCGCAAATGGTCGACATTTGCGTCGTTACAAGAGGTTACGGGACCTTTTTCACGTGGATCTTCTTCGACCGATTCACGCCCCTCTTCGAATCGCTTCGCCCAATCGATCATGCGTATTTTCGACGTTTACTTACTTGTCTCCATACACCACCTTCAATTTTCGACCGATTTCCGAGGCCATTTCGCTAGATTTTACTAAAAATTGAATCACAACACGTTCCTTGTAATGTGAGTCATGAATTTTACACTAAAAAAGTTTCTTTCAAAAAATAAGCATAAAACAATAACCAAACGTGCTATCGATTTCAGCCTTGGATTGAAACTAAAAGAAGGGTACCCTTTTCTAGACAGATGTTGACGAACGCCGTAACGTTATCAGTTCCCGAGTTATGACTAAATTCCCGGATTTAATTGCCACTATATGTATAATATTTAATTATAACTTTATTACATTTAATGTAAAGTCTTTATATTTTTGTTGATAATAGTATTATCTGATAAAAAAATAAACCGAAAATGTTTCACTCCCTTTTCTATTTGTCCGTCTGAATCTATTGGATTAAAATTGTAGTTAATTAAATCATATTAGGTGGTGTTATAATACGTAACATTATAATGTGTTGATATTTTTTCAGAAATTGGCTTCAAGCAGAAGCTGAAGCGAAGGCTGCTGGGAAAAAAGCGTCATTTGTAAAAGTACTATTCAAAACTTTCGCGTGGTCATTCATTCCCGGAGGAATCATGCAATTCTCATATATTACATTAAGGTGATTATTTGTAAGGGAATTATCTTTCTCATATTTTACTAAGTACAATCAATATCCAGTCGAATTTCCCCTTAGATTTCATTCGCGATATAATTCCGAAGACTTGTCATGTTCCCCTGCAGGCGCACCAGCAATAGTCATGAAAATTAATATGTATGATGTCAACCAACAACGATGTGTCGTCAAAAATTAATGACATACGGCCTGTGTTGTTACAAAGCCTTGCGAAACGGTACTTGTTTCAAACAACCTTGTTTTACATTTTTGTAAGACCGTGACAATTTTACTTTGAACACGAAAGGGAAAATTAATACATATACTGATATCAAATTATGATTATTACGCCTACAAATTTTACAATATATACATATATATTATATATACGATTGTCTAACGTTGGAAAGGAAATTTTAACCGACGAAAACAAGGAGAAGGTTCTCAATTCGACACGTATATCTATGTATATATATTTTTTAATCTTTGACAACGCATAACTCTTTACAATGTAGTCCGATTTTGATGATTCTTTTTTTATTGGATAGGGTATAGCTCAAAGTTGGTCCTATTTAAATTTGAAAAAATGCACCCCCAAGTGTATAACATAGGGGATGATTGAATTTTCACCTACTGATTTTTTAAAATAATTTCTTCTTACTTTGCTGCTACTATGTCTACATTAAATGCGGTGCCAACCGATACAAATGAAAGCAAACCCTATCTTCCTTTATTTATATTATTATCCTTAATGGCTAATTTAAAAAGAAACAAAATGTGTCTTTAAACAACCTCAAAGGTCATTTTGTACAGGCTGTATATTTTGTAATGAATTATCTATACTAATATTATAAAGAGGTAAAGTTTGTGAGTTTGTGAAGTTGTAGGGGGTAATTTTTGGATCTACTGAACCGATTTAGATGAAATTTGGTAAGAAAATAGTTTGAGACAATATGAAGAACATAGGACTTTTTATCCCCGAAATCATCCCTTAAGGGGGTGAAAATGATGATGAAAGTTTGTATTGGGAAGTTCATTATAAAAGGAAATATATAATAGGCTATATTCATTGATCAAAAAAGAGTTTTACTTATAAGGTATTACTTTTTTAATTTTAATTTAAGTTTGAATAAAGATTTAAAACATTTTGAATATTTTCGTATTACTAACTAGATAAATATTATATTATTTTTAAACAGAACTGGGTCACCTTTGCTATTTTCTGGCTTACTTCATTACTGGTCAATTGATTCGACAATGACGAAACAGACAGCTTCGTTCTACGCAGGTGGTATGGTACTGGCAAATTTCTTGGCAGCCTTTTTTAATCATCAAGGAAATTTTTATTGTCAACAATTTGGTATGAAGTTGAGAATTGCTACCAGCAGCTTATTGTTCCGAAAGGTAAATTGATTATGTAATTCTAATATATTCAATACTAGTTGTTTTGATTTACGATTATAATAGAAACTTAACTTGAAAACTCCTAATCATTAGATACATATATTAGCCACAAGTCACAACTTCTCAATATAACTACGGCAAGTCGTTATTTAAATAAATGGTGTGGTCTTAATTACAAAATCATACGTAGAAGGTTTTATAAGTACAATAATTTAAATATTCGACAAAAAAATTAGTTTATTATAAAAATGTATGATTTACAAATAATATTTAGGATTCCAAACCTCAAAAAGCAAAAACTAAATCCTTTCAGGATCACTTACATATAAAGTTTTTTTTAAAGATTTTTATTGAACGAATTGATTTTTATTGAAAAAATATATGTTTGTTATACTCAATGTAATTTGTGATACGGACGCACAGACGGACATGAAGAAATTATAAAGATCTCGTTTATCCTTCACGTAAATCTTACTCTCACTAGCAACTGCTTTATAATTTATAATACACTAGCGACTCACCCTCGTTCGCTCGGGTTCGTCCCTAGGTATGTTTTAACGATTAGTATAGAATAGATAGACTATATACTGTTATATACGTATATATTTTTTTTCTAACTTAAACTTGACGTATTGTTGTAGATGGTAGGTCCACCACTATTGAAACTAATCCGAAGTAGTGATTCCCATACAAAATAACCAGTTCTGAACTTTTCGATTTTCTAGCTGTTCTTATGACGTTTTCCTAATTTTTTTTATATTTAAACCGTCCCTGATATACCTCCAACAAAACAAAAACGAATTATTAAAATCGGTTTAGTCTTTTTTGAGTTTTAGCGAGACTAACGAACAGCAATTGATTTATATATATTTAGATAATACACGTACCTATGTATGTATATAAGCACAAGGAGCCACAGTTTTCTTTGTTTTTGTATGAGTGAATGAAAAAATAAAAGTACCTACAAAACGATGTGTAATTTAAAGACACTGAGTTATTGAGAGATATCGATGTAATCTTTAAAAATGTTAATTCATATCATTTATCATGTCCAATATAGATAACCAATTAAAACGATTTCAGATAATGCGCATGAATAACGGGGCTTTAGGAGAGACGACGGCTGGAAAGATTGTAAATATTCTGTCAAATGATTTACAACGTTTCGACATGGCCTTTCTTTTCTTACATTATATCTGGATCATCCCCATACAATTGACTGTAGTATGTTACTTGGGATACATGCAGGCGGGATACGCAGCTCTAATCGGTCTCGCTGCAATTATGCTTATTGCTTTACCCATTCAAGGTATGCTATAATTTATCATGCCAAGCTATTTATTGCAAACTATACACCCATAAACGTAGGTAAATTGATAATTATATATTACTAGCGGCTCACCCTCGTTTCGCTCGGGTTTGTCGCTAGGTACGTTTTAAATAGATATAAATAGTTATTAGCCAGCGTTAGCCATATAATTTTTATTTATTTTTTGTTAATAATATTGACAAATATTGACATTAATATTAATACGATTCTAACGTCACTCAATTGCCTAAACCTCTACACTAACACTTAAACTTTATGTTATGGTATTAAAGTTCAAATTGACTTTTAAGTATTATTACGAATCTTTTGTATGGGAGTATAGAAAAGTGTTGTTTTTAGACATTTTCAGGTTTTTTTTTAAAAAAAATTCTCTCCGTAAGAACCATCCTCATACTTCAAGGAATATTCTAAAAAAAGAATTAGCGAAATCGGTTGAGCTGCTCTCGAGATTTGCGCTTACCAACACATTCAGCGATTCATTTTTATATTATAGATAATACTAGTTAGCTTTGCTTTTTTTAAATAAATTTTACTATGCTATTCACTAATGTTGTAAAGATGAATTTTATTAAAACTACATACATATATCTATGTACATAACATAACATTATATGTATGTACATATATAAAAACTTTTTTTAGCATTTTTGAGCATTTTTTATCTAATTATCTATTTGAGGATATACGAGTATGTAAATATTTATCTAAATGTCTATTTGTCCGGTAATAAGATGGATAAAAAATATATTATTCGTCCAACTATTGTCGGATAGTGATAAATAACTGCAACTACATATTTTTATTTTGGCTATCGTTTATGGATGGGCTTGACTGGACTTAAATTAATAAAATTAATAGCCTGGTTGATAAAAATTACGTTTTCATTATTTTTTGTCTTAGAATTGTTTTCTTATGATTCATAAAATATCTCCTGGAGTCCAATTTTAGTTCCTTAGCTGTGGCGCTTTTCTGTGTACATAGAACCTGTACCTAAACATCATACATATATAATACAATTTTAATAGTTACAAAACAAACATTCCAATATTATAAGTATGGACTGAATAATATATTTATATAAAAATAGACTAGACTGAATTAAGCTTCCCATCATATTCCTTTCTCGATAGATTGATTTGCTTAGAAATATTCTAGTTGAAATTAGCAACTGTCTGCTACACTACCATTTATTTGCGATTTCAAAATGATATCCATCTCACTTTCTTTAACAACGCGAAATTCATAACATATCCATGAATGTTATCAAGCAATTGAAATCAAAGAATTCAGATTTCTAAGAAAACGAAATAAGGCACCTTAAAATCCATTCAACAATTTAACTTAAAACATCATATGGGCATATATGTATTATGTAATCTGTTAATTTGTCTTGTAAATGCCAGTATAATTTGTGTTAAGCATACTTCATTGACAAAATGATGGATCATATTTTTTCATTTTGTATGATGAGTATTTAAAATAAATCCATAAATAAAAAGAATAGATAGAAGAAGCTTTCTTACATTTTTTAATTTATTTTAGGTATGCTTGGGCAGCTCCTTGGGAAAATCAGGTCCCGCACCGCAGACAAGACTGACGAGCGAATCAAAGTAATGAGTGAAGTAATTAATGGGATACAGGTAATCAACTACATATAAAAAGAAATTAATGAATATGAAACGTCTAAATAATGGAATGAAAACATCCCTTTATAGAAGATCAATATATCATACCCAAGCTATATGTAGTTTAACAGGAAATAACTGACGCTGTCTTTAATTTAACGCTATATTTTCAGTTTACCATCTTTCAATAATGATTATTAAAATGAAGGGTTAAAATGGTTAGAATCGAAAACGGTCGCCAATGAAATTTATTATAAAATCGCAAATTTACACTAAAGCCTAAGAAAATACTAGTAATTCATCCCATCGTCTGCTTAGAGCTATTACAAATATGATTAACAAACGTGTCATACTTATTTTGCAAAAAATGGCGGAAAAAAATAGCGTAATATACACGTCATTATTTTTATCTCCTTATTGAATGGAGTAATATTGTTATCTACTGGTTGTATATTATCTTTAATCTTGTATTTTTGATGCGAGCGATTGTAGTTACTAACGGAAAAATCATATAAATTGGATACACTATTTGTAAAAACCGGTAAAATATTCATTAATTGTAAAGCTTAAGTTGCCGCTTTATTGCTTAGAAAGAGAAACGACAAATTCGAAAAAATATCAACGTATATTTTTTAATTCTACCTTCAACTATTCGTTATAGCGGACTTCTCTTCCACATCTGCAATATTTTAAATTTATATTATGTATGATCCTTACGTGCACGTACGATACGTTTACACGTTCCTGGCAACACTAGATAAAAATTATCGTGTGGTTAACCAATAACCATTGCAAGTGCGTGTGGCGCTATCAAGTTGTATTTGTTACAAATTATTGTGCGGTTTTTAAGCCGCAAGCCAAAATGTAACAATTTGCTATTTTAAAATCAGCCGCGGTAGAAAACCGCAAAGGATTTATATTGAAGTCTTAAAATCACAAAATCATGCGGATAAAAACCGCGCGCGTTTTGCAGTTAATTTGTGGTGCGCCCTAGCACTAAGGCTACAGTCAATTTGATCATTATATGTTGAATCATGCTACCTTTCGTTGATAGAAAAGATAAATAAGAACCATTTTCATTTACTTTAATTTTCTATCTTTATTGATTTAAATATTATAGTAGCTTAAAAAGACTTTTTTTCTGCTAGTTTTTTATCTTTTGCTATTCGTCCGACAATCGGATGATTAAGAAATAATTATTCGTCCGACTATTGTCGGTTTGTACGAATATATACAATTTTTTTTGTTTTCTAATATAAAATAAGTGATTTTTATCTGCAGGAGTTCCTATAGCAAAAAAAAATACCTTCACCTAGCGAGCTGAAAACTTATTCTTTTAAAAATAGATTTTATTAGAAGGATTATTATACTGCTTCATAATAAAACTAGATAATTCTAATCTATCAGCCGATAAAGATTTTTAATATAGGTCCATTCGATCTTATTCTAAACTTAAAATTTTAACTATCGATATTCTTAAAAATCTATATAACTTGATAAGTTGCAATTGTTTTTTATAGAAACATAAAAATAGTCACAATCGCAATATTATATCACACACCAACAATAGTTCGACGAATAATATATCATTTATTCATGCGACTCTTTGTACCTATGTCCTAGATCAACACAGCTCCCTGATGTACTAGTGCTCGTACTCTATATACAACTTTTATCAGTGGTAGGCACTGATAAAAGTTGTATATAGAGTCAGACAACTTTTTAGTCTTTCAACTTTTTGATAGGTAGTATTATTATTAAACACTTTTTTAATATTCATGTATAATTCTTACTAAAAATTCACTAAAATTATAATTTAGAACGTGACATTTGTGATTAAAATTCAACAAATTAGGTAAATAGAATTCTTACTGAATTCAACACTAACTAATTAGTTGAGTGAAGCTAGATTTATATCATGAAACGATAAGTAACTCGTTTATTTAACTTTAAGACTTATAATAATAATTGATAATGTCTGCATTGTGTGTTATATATTTTATAGTGTAATTTGTAAATGCGAGACTGCATTCTTAAACTAATTTACAATCGCAGTATTTGCAGCAATAACTCAAGCTGATTTTTGCTTTGTATTTCTTATATAAAGATCTTTTTATTTAAAATGATATTTCAGATCTATTACACACTTACTAAATCACTATTGTAAATTAAAGTTCTTATAAATATGTATGTGTCTGGGCTCGTCTCAGAAAGTAACGTACAGATTTTTGGGTGACACTAATAGAAAGTGAAATGAGTATATAGGAAGGTTAGAACAGGCACTTTAGACAATTTTACGAAAATAAGTTACCGATAAGCGATGACATGATAATCTATATAATATAAGCCGATGAGCTATATAATCATATTTTTTAATTAATTAAATAAATGATATGAGCTCCGTTAATATTATGTATTATTGCGGAGCACATCTAGGGATCACTAATAATAATTCTAGACATTAAATTATTGTTTTTTTTTTATGTTTAAAGGTAATTAAAATGTATGCCTGGGAGATTCCATTCCAAAAAGTTGTTGGACAAAAACGTAAAGAAGAATTAAAAGAAGTCAAATCAGCTACAATTGTGAGGACAGTTTTTATTGGCTTTATGATCTTCACGGAAAGAGCTGCTATGTTCATTACCATCTTAACATATATTTTATTTGGAAACGTCCTTAGCGCCAACATTGTAAGTACTCATATATTTTTATCTGAAACAGTTATTAACCAAAAAGTTCTTCGAAAATGTCTATCTAAATGAAAACTCCCGTTTAGTTATTTTTTAGTTTTCAATTCCTGGAAGTCGGTTTTTTTAAGTTTTATTTATGATAAAATATTAACGTTTAATTGTAATAGTAAAACGTACCAAATAATTTCAATGTGAATAAAATTCTGTCTTTAGGTATCTTGCATCCAAAATGATTCAAACCGATTTGTACAAAACTCCTAGGTATGAAGTAGAAAAAACATCATACAAAACATAATCATATCCATATCATTGTATATTTATAATATTATAAATGTGAAAGTTTGTGAGTATGTATGTATGTTTGTTACTCTTTCACGCCAGAACGGCTGAACAGAACATCCAGTGTTTGGCACAGAGATAAATTATAGTCTGAAATAGTCTGAAAACATATAAAGCTACGATTCCCGTGGGATAGGTTTTCCTTTTTCATTTTTGTTTTCCTAGAGGTGAACGCGAGCGAAGCGAGGCTGAGCCGCTAGTATTAAATAAATAAGCCGAGAAAACGTAATAAATAAAATACCTACCTACAATTTTTAAAGTATTGAGTCTGTTAAATTCGTCATCATTTTAAAACAACTAAATGAATTTCAATAGAACTTTTGCTATTGTATAAGTAAATGTCTGAATTAAAAGCATATTCATAGCTTGTCTTATTTTAATTGGTCAAGTAGATCTACAGTCAAAGCTTGAACAATTTCTTGACGACATGTTTGGCTCAGTTTGTAGAGACCCTACTTGCTGTACCAGCGGTCGCAGGTACGAGTCCCGCTGGGGGCATTCATTTGTGTGATGAGCACAAATGTTTGTATTCCAGTCATGGGTGTTTATATTTATAATATGCATGTATTTAAAGTTATATAATATGTGTTGTGTATGAATTATAAGGGGCTGTATAGTATATATATTATCATTTTGAACTCAATAGATATAAACATGCGAACGTAGCTGGCTGTCATGTTTTTTTAAATTTCAAATTTATGCATGTCTTTAGCTATTCCGATAACATGAAACTTTAGCTATAATATTACTATATTTCATAAAAATTCTGTATCTATCTAATTTCAAAATATTCATAAAGTACTTATGAATATTTTTGCTGTAAAATGGAAAATGTTTAAAACTATTCCCTTTGAACTATTTCGGATGTCAACTACAAACTATCCGATACAGCTTGTGTTGCGGGTCACATGTCATCTAGTTTTGAAAGTTTCACAATTTGTCGTTTCAATTTTTTTTTAAATGCTACGTGATAATTTTGCTTATGGAAAGGCATTATTATGGAAGTATATGGGATGATCTTAAATTACTTTTAAAGAGTAATTATTATTTTTCAAGAAGTTCAAATCTAAATTTTAGGGACCTCTAACGAGCGCGTACTTGGATAATAATTAGAAGAAGAAATAAAAGTGATGCTAGTTCTTAGCACTTTATGTTATCTAGCTAGCATGCAAGAAATAAAGCTTGAAATATGACTTTATTTACATTTAAACTTGATATATTTCTTAAAAATGATAATCTTTGTGTGTGAGTGTCATTGAAATGACAGTTTATTAACATTTTTTCGTTAACAACTTCATACAAGTAACAGCAAATGAAATTTAGCTGTGGTAGCCCATTGGTAACGTGCAGGGGAAACCAAGCAAAGCGGTTTTAAAACTTTCTCGTAAGGTCCTCGCAACTTCAAGATTTTCAATTGCGAATCATTTGTAACATTATAGAAAAAACAAATGATATAAATGTAGATAAAGCGAGAGCTAAAATGGAAAATAAATTACGTAATTTAGAGGCCATACTACAACAGGCACAACTATAAACATAACTATTGTTAAAGATCTACTTGGATAATGAATATGATATGAATGAATGAAGATAAATTTACGTTAGGGACCACCAATTATAATGAATATAGT